CAGCAGCCGGTGATCTCCCAGAACGCGGCCACCAGTTTCCAAGGTAGCGGTCGTGGTGTGCGGGGTGCACTCGCGATAAAAGGTGTCGGTGCTCGAGCTCCAAAAGCATCCTCGGCCGCCACGACCCTGACGGTCCTTTTCTTGCGGGGCGATGGAGTTGAGTGAGCGTGAGAAGCAGTCGTAAGCGAGATCTGAAGTCTTCGCGTGACCTCTTGCGATAGTTGTCATCTTTCTGCTCTTCTCTGCTGTGGCTCTGGGGAGGCTGGAGAAGAGCGTGTCTCAAAAAATGTCGGTACTGCTGGGTGCGGTGGGCAGATCCAGTCCTGGAGCTCCGGTCTGTCCCCTGCGGCAGCCCGGAATGAAGGCGCATTTTAGCTACCAAAGTCTGGAGTGCAGTCCTTGCGTTGAGCAGAGACGCTTGTCGGGATGTTTAGCAGTGACCGAGTCTGCCTTTGTGTCTGCGAATGCCAGTTGTCTGGATCCTCCTCAGCAGGTGTTGATTCTTTACGTGGTAAATGGGATCCTAGGGTCCACCGAGATCAGCAGGGGTGGGTGAGTGCTGGCTGGATGTGCTGCTTAAAGTCACTGAAGTAATGAGTCCTGTGCTATCCAACCAAAGGTTTTTGACTTTTCTCTTAGCTGATCCTCTGTGCCTCCTGGAAAGCTGCTGTTCTAGGTGCAGCATCCTCTTGCAGGAGGCACCAGAGGAGCTGGAAGCTTCCCAACGTGTGGGATGCGTTAGATGAATGCTCCCTACCGAGAAGCTCTGGGAAGCTGAGGAGTGAAGCTAGGAGCGTTTGCAGGCTCCAGAACGGAGACCTGTGTCTCTGGACTATTGCTGACATCCCTTCTGCTTTTCAGTTCTCCAGCCTCAAGTCCAGAGCCTGGTGACGTCCTCCCAGGTCCAGCCAGGTCCAGACGGTCGCTGCACCGCAGGTCCAGCAAGTTCCAGTAAGTAAAAACGTGGAGCGGTGCAGTGAAGAGTCTGGTGTCCTGCCTTGCCAGGGGAAAGGTGGCGGGGCTTGTGGGGCTGGGGGTCCTGGCTTGGATTGCTTCTGCACAAACGTTTTTGTGTGTGAGAGGTGCTTCAAGCCAGCCTGTGTTCCGGAAGTGTTTTACTTCACGCAAGTCATGCGTGAGAGTCCCTGCGGTGAGCCGTGATGTGGCTTCAAGCAGTGGGCAAAGTTCAGAAATCGTTTTCACTAGAACACCTGCGTAACTAAACTTGGTCTAAAATATTTTTGTAACTTGGTGCTGCCAAAACAGGTTGGAAGCCTTACTTGAGCAAGCTTTCTCTGACTTTTGCCTGCTTCTTTGCAAGCCCATGTTGTAGAAGGGTTGAATGGTACCAGAATGTTTTCTTCCAATTCTTCTGCCACGGTTCTGTGATCTTTTTGCTGCTACAGTGTTATGCAGTTTTGTTTTAAAACATACACAAGAGTGAAAGTCTTGTGTGTCTTTGTGTTGGATAAAAATGGTGACGGCTAGGGGACTTGGTGGCTCTGGTTCAGCTGTACTGTGCCATCTATAGTGTCCTCTGTATTTGAGAGCCAACAAGGTATTTGAAAAAACAAAGCCAAGCTGTGTTGTGGCAGAATAACTTAGAGCTGGTTTTGTTCTGTTTGATCTTCGTGGTACAGATCCTTTCAGTGAAATTGGAGGGGGGGAAGGCTGCCACAGGTATTTGCCAAAGCAGGCTGTCCTAGCCATGTTAGACTCGGAGTACTCAACCAGTTAACGCAGAGAGCTAATTATAGGTGTAATTGGAGAGGGGAAGGGAGCTTCTCCGTCAGCTCTTTTGTGTTTTTACGTACTCGTTTACTTCTGGTGACTGATTTGAAGATCAGTGTCCTGGCGGTTCGTCTGCTCCCCTCCCTCCAGCGCTGTTCAGGCTGTCTCATGGTCACAGTGTGCATCAGGGGCCAACAAAAACCACCCAGGTGACGCAGGGCGCAGGGTGGAAGAAATACTCGCCCTGCTCTTTTGCCATCCGCTGAGACGAAAAGTTACAACTGTGCCATCGCTTACCTCCGGCTGCTGAGATCAGCAGAGAAATGTGTGCCTGCTCTCCCCTTCACCTGTGACTCTTTCCAACCTAGGTTCTAGTCCAGCCTCAGATCATAAAAACGGACTCGCTTGTCTTGACAACCCTGAAAGCGGACGGTAATCCCGTCATGGCCGCAGTACAGAACCCAGCACTGACAGCGCTCACCGCTCCCATTCAGACCACAGCTCTGCAGGTACTGTATGGGGGTTCTTCTTCCTTCCCTCTCCTCGCTGGCGTCCTTTCCTCTTAACGCAAGGAGGAGATCTGGGCTTTCCTACTCTGCAGTGGTGCAAACGGGAGGGGTTTTGAGGGCTGCTCTAGACACGTCCAGAGTGAGTAATACCCTGTTTCTGCCAAGGCTAAGCACACAGATTGTACTTTTTTGGCAGTCTCCCATGGCCAGTAAGCAAAGACCAAGGGCAAGTTTCTGTTTACCTTTTTCTGGTATTGCAAGGAGAGGGATATGACCTAAAAAATCTGTCCAGTTTTTAACCTCCGGAAGATACTTGAAACCGAAGCTAACTCACTCAGAACACATGTGGAACTTCTTTTCCCCCCTCAGTAGTGTCTAACAGCGATATGTTGAATGTGAAGATTAATTAAGCTACTTTTCAGAGGGCATTTGCAGTGAGGGTTCAGTGTAGTCATTGGAGATGGCAGCTGTGCTTTCTGGCCTCCGCTTCTTATCAGCTCGGAGAAACTTGTGCCCCAAAGACGCATTTATTACGATCTTGTACATTCTGAACAGATCTCTCTGTTCAAATATTTACTGGGGGAGATAATCTTGTAAGGTTGGGCTTAAGTTTTGACTTCTTTTGCATAGTATGGTAGGCTGCTTACGTACTTGTTAGCAACCAGGCTAAAATCTTCCATTAACCTGCTTGCTTATAGGTGACATTTTCACATAGAGTTGAGGCTTATGTGATTCTGTCTGAGACACATTCAGTGAAGCGTTTTGAACACATGGAAATGTGGTGGAAGATAGCCAAAGAAAAGTACAGGACTTAAATTCATTTATTCGTCAAGTTCCAGCTTGAAATTAAACTAAGTTAATTTCTAATATCCCAATTAGAAGACTTCTTCAGAGTCAAAATTATTCCTAACGTTGCTCACGGCTAGTTTATTCTCATTTGTGTTAGTCTGTCTTTTGACAGAAATAACTCCTCCTCTCGATAACCTCTTCCCTGATCCTTGGTGTACTTTAGAGAACAAGTGTGCCCTGCTCAGTCTTGTTTTGCTGGGTTAAGCAGTCTAAACTTTCTTTACTCCAACTGTCCTAGAAGCCTCTCTGTGCAACTGTTCTGGTGGGACTCATTATCTTTTAATGCAGAAGTACATACTGCTTCAGTTTGGTGTGGATGGTCTGCCCTATATCTAGATGTCCAAGTTTGACCTTTTCATGCCAGTGTATATCACTCATTGCCTTAGCTCCCCATCTTAAAGGCATTATTATAGCTTATGGATAATTTTTTTTTTCCATTTACTTGGATTTGAATGAACTGCACTGCTCAAGCCAAGGTTTGTTTTTCCATGGTCTGGTCCTTTCTGAGGTGGCTGTTACCAGTTTGGAAGTAGCATTGCCTGTTGCTGATTTGATGACTTTGTCTAAAGAAGAGGTGGATTTGGACACCTGGGGTGCAAGGGTTGTCAGGAACAAGGAGGAGCCTTGGTCCGTTTCTCTGAGTAGTGGATGAGCAGAGCACGGTATTGGCAGAAGAGTGTTGATGCTCTTGGAGAACAGGAGAGGTCCTTACTCCACAGTGACCAATGTGGGAGGCAGAGTGGCAGATTTTTCCTGTGCTGCTGTGCCAGTGCTCATGCCAGCTAAGGAAGACCGGAGGAAATTGGCATATCTCCTCTTTTCTGAGCTGTACAAACTTTTCCTAATTCTTCTTCTGTTTACTCCTTTTATTTTATCATCATAAAATGTATCTAAATTGGCTGATTGCTTGTGACGCTTGTTACCCATCGTCTTTGTAGACACTCGTTGGGAGCAATGGGACCATTTTGACCACAATGCCAGTGATGGTGGGACAAGAAAAGGTGTCTATCAAACAAGTTCCTGGGGGTGTCAAGCAGCCAGAACCACCTAAAGAAGGAGAGAGGAGAACGACTCACAACATAATTGAAAAGCGTTACCGGTCATCCATAAATGATAAGATCATTGAGCTGAAGGACCTTGTCATGGGGACAGATGCCAAGGTAAAGATATGGAATAAGAGCAAGTCTAGTGTCATAAATACTTTGTCTTCGGGTGCTCGTTGCTCTACCAAACGAAGCAGTTGGGTACACGCAACTGTTAGCAACATGCACACATGTATTGGGATAGGACTGGTGAGAGACAGTTGTGCGATGGAAAGCTCGATAATTGTATTCAGGAGAGGTCACCTGTAAAATGTTTATTTTACTACACTAGTGGTACTGTTTCTTTGAAAATAAGGTATACCTTATGTATTTGTTGGTGTGTTAGGTCTAACTTAAATAGGCCCTTTAGGTAGAACATCCAAGTGGATCTTTTGAAAACTCTGCCAGACCAGAGCTTGCTTAACTCAGGCTTCCTTTTCCACGTGACTGCAGTAGGGACGAGGGTTTACAGAACTTTCCAAATTGTTTCCTTTAGATACTGAGTTGTAAAAACTCCTGCTTGCTCGAATATTAGAAGCTTTCTTGCACCATGTATTCAGCGCTGTCCTCTTCACTTTACCTCATGCTGGCAGAGCAGGGAGTAGTACTCTTCATACCTTTGCATGGTCTGTACAAACACGAGTACTAGTGAAGCCACCTCCTATCGCTGGATGGAATCGAAAGCTTACATTTTAAAAACAGTGGTAATGTCCAGTGGCTTCGTAGTACTTTGGGCTTGTGTTTACAAGCTAAACTTGTCTGCTGGTGCTAGAAGCAAGTATTTTTGTGGGGATGGCCAAGGGAGTGAGGCAAGGAGAGAATGAATTCCCTGGGAATTAAACAGTGAACAATGGGCAACAGACAGCAGCTTGTTCCATCCCAGAAGAGAGCCACTTCATTTCAAAACTATGGTGCTTTCAGAAGACTAGTTCTGGCTGAAACCTAGATGTGAACTCTGTTGTAATTTGGATGTTGATCTGCTTCCATTGTACGTTTTTTTAAGGTCTTTGAGAGACCCCAGTCCTTGTGTGCCTTTCAAAGTCCGATGCCTTGCCCACAGAGTGTGCCCCGCTATTAGTTTCTTTGCAGCTGCTGAGTGATCCTCTGCACCTTTGCTTTCTGTCACCACATGATGCAAAATGTTGCGGTATCCCTACAAGCAGGAGTGACCCTGTGACACTCTTCATATAAACTGCTTTCTGTACGTCTTAATTCCTTGCAGATGCACAAGTCTGGAGTCCTGAGAAAAGCCATTGATTACATTAAATACCTACAGCAGGCCAACCATAAGCTGAGGCAGGAGAACATGGTGCTGAAGCTGGCTAACCAAAAAAACAGTAAGTTGTGGAGGCTGTGCAGCAGGGGGGAGGTAGCCAGCATGAAGGTAGGATGCCTCTTGCAGGTTCTTATCCTTGACAGAGGTAGATGACATGCACGCTGCAGCGATAGTGGCCAGTGTTACTCCAGGTGACAGAGCCAATCTGAGCGACACTGGCAGGATGCAGGATCGAGAAACGTGTGTAACGCGCTCTGATTTTTTCCAGAGCTGTTGAAGGGCATTGACCTAAGCAGTCTGGTTGACAATGATGTGGATCTGAAGATAGATGACTTCAACCAGAACGTGCTGCTGATGTCTCCTCCAGCCTCTGACTCAGGATCCCAGGCTGGCTTCTCTCCCTATTCCATTGATTCGGAGCCAGGAAGCCCACTCCTTGATGATGCAAAGGTATTTGTGGCTTCAGTTGCCAAATTCAAGGCATCTACTTCGGGGACACGTCAGGGCCACAATTTGAATTTTCCTGATTCTGAAGAGTGGAACCAGCACATGTCTGTTAAGTAGATCTGTAAGAGTCAGAGATCCTTTGTGAGGATGAGGAAGGTGCATGGGTGTGTTTTATCTTTTCTGAAATGATTGAGACTAGTTGCTAAGCTGTATTATCTGAGCCATACCTTAGCTGCTAGAACTGCTGTACTTAGCCTTCGGCCCCTGTAGAGTCTCTGTGGACTTACAGTATGTGTTCATGACCCGGGGAGCCCGTGGTTTTCTGGGGGTATATGTATCCAGTGAATAAAGCAGGAGAACTTGGAAATGGACGATTACATCAGTGTGGTTAATGACAATGTAAGTGACCACAGTAACAGAAAGCTGTTAGCTGTTTTCAGCTGACAGGTTTGTTTTGAGGATATCACAGCAGTGGGTCTTCTGGGAGATCTTCAAGAGTAAGGGCAGCAAAGGTTAATCCTAGCTTAAGCCAGGGATCAAGTTAATAACTGAAATGACTGGGAGCAGAAGGAAGGTGAAGGCACTCAAATACTTCAGCCTTATCCTACTAAGCTAGGGAAAGCTTCACTGGAGTTCTTGCTGATCTTGATCCTTAAAAGAAAATTTTAACATGTGTTCTGTTTCTCCTTCTTCCCTACCCCTCCCTTGGCACAAGAATTTTGTGTTCTACAGAATGGTAAGCAGGGGTTTTTTTTTCTCCTCTTACTTTTCTCGCCACTTGTGTTCATTTGAAGGTTAAAGATGAGCCTGACTCTCCTCCTGTGGCCCTTGGTATGGTGGACCGCTCCCGAATACTCCTCTGTGCTCTCACATTCCTTTGCCTTTCCTTCAATCCTCTGACATCCCTCCTGGACGCCCGAGGAACCCCGGAGTCCGAGAGCCTGGTGCGCCACGGCTCTGGCAGGAACGTGCTAACCATCGAGTCGGGTAAGGAACTACAGTAGTTTGGACCACAGAAAGTGGACGGGCTTACTTGGTCTCCCTAAAGACCATCTCCAGCTGTGGCAGCTGCAGGTCACGAGGTGGACTGTTGGTGTGATTCAGTAGGATGGTTTTGTGTGTTCGCGGAGTCGTACAACCTTTGTTTAATGTTTTGGGAGGGGTGGTAACCGCAGGGCAGGGCCTGGGAGGAGAGCCAGCCCTGGGTGCTTGGACACGGCTCCAGTTTACAGCCACAGCCAGCGTTCTTCTTGCACAAAACCAGCCATTGCTTAGCGTGGTGAGGTGTAGGGGCACCCGCTTGCAGCCCAGCAGCTTGGGCTTTTGGGTTAGACCCTTGAAAAGTAGCTCAGAGTAAGGGGTCCTCCTGTCCTTACCGATCTCTGAGGCGTGTTCACTTCATATTTGTTTTTAAGGTAAGTGATTTTTTTTTTAACAAAGTGATAGGTGAAGAATTGCTTCAGAAATACAGTTGCTATAGGGTCTTGCAGCTGGCTTGTTCAATATGCTTATTCTGTAATATTCATAGTTTAGAGTACAGTAGCATAGGGGAGGGCAGGGCATTCTGTAAGCGTGCTGTCATTTCCCTGGCTGGTAAATGTGCTTCCTCAGTGTTACTTTGTGAGCTTAATTAAGGCCGGAAAAATGACACAGAGGTGTCGAATACCCATGGGTGTATCCGATAGTTTTCTTAGAGTGCTTTGTATTCTGTTTTTTCCGAGAACTGACTCAGTTTTTATAATCAGTTTTGTAAAAATAACTGGTTTTATTTGGTTGGGAATGTTGTGGCTTGGTGTTTGGATGACAAGCTGTTTTTTCAGGTGTTTCCTGATCAAAATGCAATGTCTGAAAAGTTGCTACTACATGTGGCAAGCATTGCAAGATGTCCTTCTGGGTCTGTGCTTATCCTGTTGCTAGGTTTTTGGTGCCCAGATTAACTTCTGACTTTCCTTTGGGATATCCGTTGCAGATGCGGGCGGCTGGTTTGGCTGGATGATGCCCACGCTGATCCTGTGGCTCGTGAACGGAGTGATTGTACTGAGCGTGTTCGTAAAGCTCCTTGTGCATGGAGAGCCAGTGACCCGGCTGCACTCAAGGTCATCGGTCACGTTCTGGAGGCATCGCAAGCAGGCAGACCTGGATTTGGCACGGGTAGCGTTGACTTTTGTTTAGCATCAAACACATCTTCTAGGAGGGCTGTGGGTAAATGTGGCCTAGCGAGGCGGTGGCTCAGCACTTGCAAGAGCATGGTATTCCTCGAGTGGATTATCCTGTCTCATTTCAGAGAAGCTGGTGCTGCTAGGTTGCCTGGAGTGGATTGTCGTCCTCCCTCAGCCTAGATTAACGAGGAGCATTGGAAGAGGCTCCTAACTTCTGTCCTTGTTCCTTGCTGCTGTGTCTTGTAGCAGTCTTTGGCAGGAAAGCCATGTTTTTTGTCCAGAATCTGGCCTCTGCTGTGTCTGTTTGTCTGCTGACCTCCAGCCTCTTGGAAGTCTTCTCCATTGATTTGGCTTTTGATGTGGGGACCCTGAAACTTCCATGGTGTTTGAGAAGGCAGGCAGCTCCTTTCACCTGGTGCCGATGTGTCTCACAGGCAGTGCAGGATCAGAGCCATGTGTGGAAAGAGATGTGTAGGGCCAGATCTGAAGCTGGTGTAAATTGCCTTCATGTTTACTGGGACTGTGTTGACTTCCCTCAGCTAAAGATCTTGTCCTAGCTTGCACATCAGTTTGTCTTGCTCCCAATGCCAAGGAGGTCCTGAGATATCTCTGTGATCGTGCTTTTTGTTGTGGTGTTTGCAGGGGGATTTTGCTGCAGCCGCGTCAAACCTGCAGACTTGCCTGTCGGTTCTTGGCCGAGCACTGCCAGCTTCTCGCTTGGACTTGGCCTGCAGCCTGTCCTGGAACGTGATCCGCTACAGCCTGCAGAAGCTGGCGTTGGTGCGGTGGCTGCTGAAGAGGACTTCTCATCAGTGGCGGGCGAGGGAGGCCACCGCAGGCTTCGAGGACGAGGCCAAGACCAGCGCTCGAGATGCTGCTCTAGCATATCACAAGCTCCATCAGCTCCACATAACAGGTAGGAGCGGAGGTGGCCGATCTGCTGTCCTTGTTTTGCCAAATGAGGAGGCTCAGAGCTGATCCTGGGGGTACCAGGAGAGTGCTGTCGTCTCCCTTCTCTGGAAGGGCTGCTGCTGGAAACAGCCTGACAAATTTCAGGAGCCGTGTTAGTAAAACACGGCAGGCTTATGCAATGAAGGAGCCCCGTAAGAACGGCCGAAGCAGCAGCAGTGTCTGGAGTTATATGTTCCGGAGCCTGTGGAGGTGGCTGAGAGTCTTTCCCGTGCAGCAGCTGATTGAGTCCTGTCACTTTTTTCTGCTGTGAAGGGCTTGCTTCATCCCTGTTACTTGGGAACGCGATGTGGAAGCAGGGGCTGGGGTTAATTGCTGCAAGAATATAAATTTCCGAAGCTGTGTGGAGCGCAGATTGCCAGTTGGTGTTGATACGCTTTGAAAACCTGGGTGTGTGCGCATGTACTGAGGAAGTGCTTGAATGTTCTTTGTGAGCGGTTGTTTTTGCCGTTTCCTTGGCAAACCAATTTGCAATGTTAATAGGCTACGAGCACACCAGAAATCCAAGCTAAACTTCCTTCTGCCTAATTATGCTGTGTGAATTGCAGCCATGCCACCGGGGATAAGTTCTTGTCCTTAATGTTATCTGTGTAGGTACAGGGGTGGACTGCAAAGGAGTTCAGTTTTCAGATAGCGATGAATATAACGAAACAAAATTTGCTGATGATTTTATCATAACTGGTTTAGCTATGCAGGGCTTTCTTGCAGAAACAGCTGCGGATGCCAGCCTTGGTATCTGTGGAGGGAAGACTGGGTTACAGTTCTTGTGTGGCCCAAATACAAAGTAGACATACAATGTTGTAAACGTCTCTTGTCAACAGGTTCTCATTTGTCTCTTTAGGACACAAAAACCGGTTTCTCATTTGTCTCTTTAGCCCTGCAAATCACGGTAGTATTTAGTAGCTGGTACTATGGTGTCAAAAGTCAGCCCCTTTCCTTTCCTTTCTGGTGCAGGTAAACTTCCCTCCAGCTCGGCTTACTCGGGCTTGCACATGGCCCTGTGTGCTGTCAATCTGGCTGAGTGCGCGGAAGAAAAGATCCCACCCAGCACAATGGCAGAAATCCACCTGACGGCTGCGGTCGGCTTGAAAACCCGCTGTGGAGGCAAGCTTGGCTTCCTCGCGGTGAGTGGTCGTCTCCCTTCCCGTCACACATCCGAGCAGAGCTCTAGGAAGGCCTGCAAGCTGCCGTTGCCGTAGCTCAGGGCATCTGCTAGCACTACAATTGCAATACGACCTGCAATTATGGTACAAGCTGTAATTATGATATGACCTTTGTCCTCGGTGGTGCGTCGCTTTCCCTGGATGCCGCTCTCAATCTTAGCCTCTCCTTTCCCCAGAGCTACTTTCTAAGCCAGGCTCAGAGCCTGTGCAGCTCGGAGCGGAGTGCCATTCCTGACTCACTGCGTTGGCTGTGCCATCCCTTGGGACAGAAGTTTTTCGTGGAGCGAAGCTGGACGGTGAAGTCTGCTGCGAAGGAGAGCCTGTACTGCACCCAAAGGAACCCTGGTGAGATCTGCTTGTGTCCCGGGCACGTGGTCTCCCAGCACTTCGAGCCTGGCAGTGTCTCCATCTCTGGGATAAAAGCGAGTGTCTTTGAGCATGTGCTCTTGTATGCCCACCCTGCTTGTGGTCTTGATGGGCGAGAGGGGCTGTGGAGCTGAGAGACATCTCCTCAGCCAGCAGGAGCTGACTCTCTGCTCTGTGTGTACTGTGCTGCGTTGTCCTGCTTGTGTCTTTCTATGCTGGAACACAACCTGGATGTGGCCCTGAATGTTTGGGGGGTGACTTCGGGGTGACCAAGGTTTATCCTCCACAGAGCAGGGTCATCGCTGTTTTGCTGAGTGGCTGAAGTGCCAGAGGGATGTTTGGCCAAAGGCTGCAGCTTGCTAAATGGATAAAAGGGTTAAACAGGCCCTGAAAACTTAGTCTTTAGAAATCTTTGCATTAGTTCTTCAAGAATTCCCTTCTACTGCTCTTCCTCTTGCTGCTATACGTTGATTCTTCTGTTTGGTTGTATTGGAAGGTGGCTGTCGCTGTATGCAAGTTAAACGCTTTGGTTTTTTTCTTCCTCCTTCCTAGCGGATCCCATTGCACAAGTTCATCAAGCATTTTGTGAGAACCTGCTAGAGCGAGCAGTGGATTCGCTCGTGAAGCCTCAGACTAGGAAAGAGCTAGCGGGACAAGAGGAGGAGGAGCCGTGGTGAGTTCCTGTGCTGTGCTGGGGACCGCTGGCTGCGGCTGCAGGCTCTGGGGCAGAGCTCATAGCCATTGACTAAGCGCTCTGGGGCACACTGGGTGGTTAGTCCTTACTAAAGACCTGAAATGACAGTGTAAGTCTGGCCACCGCAACTTCTTAGAAGAGCAAGCTCTGCCTCTTCATGTTAAAACCTCTGAAGACAAAGGTGAACCCAGGTGGGGAAAGGATTTCTGGTGTCTGCTGGTGTAGTACTGGTTGATTCCAGAACTGGGTGGATGGTATTGTCTCTGCTGATGAAGTTTAATGTTTAGGAGCACTCAAATTAGTGTGCACCTACCACTTCTATAGACCAGAACATATGTCCAGGGCTCAAAGAGTGTGGAGGTCTGGCATGTCGGAGAGTGACCCCACCAGCTCGCTACCTTATGCATGAGTATGCTTGTAACTGAAGTGCCACATCTACCAGCAGTGAAAAATCAAACTGACGCGTGGCAAGAGGGGCAGAGATGATGTTGGCCGAAACTGTCATTGCCTCTAAGCTCTGGGACCGACTGAAAGGGGCTGGTAGGTGGGAATCAGAACAGCTTTTTGTACTGAACCATGTCCAGCTCTTTCCTGGACTCCACGGGAAGAGGAGCCCCAGCCTTTGCCAGCAATTCTGCGCTGTTTCTAGCTGATCTCCAGATATGCTGGTGCCAGGCAAACACTATGTAAATACATGGGAAGCTTTGTAAGGATCTTGTCCCCAGAAAGTATGGGTGAAAACCTCAAATGGGAAGATAACATGGTTTCCCTCCCTGTGTAGGGACAATATTATATATTTAGCTTTTTTTTCAATCTTGTGTCTGTTTTCGAGCATGGTTGTAGAGCATGAGCAACAGCTCAGTCTAATTGCTTGCACAATACAAATGCTTGTGATCAGAGGCTGCTGCTGGTGAGAGAAGGAAGCAGGATTGGTGTAAGCGAGGTGGATTGTCAGTGTACTTGTGGGAGTCCTGTCTGCTGGTGGAAAGAACTCACTTTACTGCTGCAGCAAGCCTTTTTGTCCCCCTCTAGGGGTAGGAGCTCAAGATCTTCCTCTGTAGCACGTCCCAGGAAATTAGATCATTGCCACATATGCTACTTTCTCTGACCAAGGCTATGAACACCTTGTCACTTGCGTTCATATTTGCATATATGCAAATAGTCACTTGCAGACCTGTAGTTCTGCCTCTCTTGGAGGCAGTGATTGAAAAGGAGCCTGTAATCAGCTTGTAACATATATCATGTCTGTCAGCAGATTCAGGACACCGGAGGGGATGCTGGTGGCTTCTGTTTAATATTTGTAGAATTTGGGGTGCTGACTAAGTGCTAATGCAGATACTCTTTCACTTTAAATACGTATTACATGGCTTAATCTGCTTCTCAGTCCCTTCCCCGAGAATGGTACCACCTTTTTCAAGGACTTGAGTACAGCCCGCTCCCCTGTCCCCTAACTGGAGAGCAGATGTCCGTGACACACAGTCCACAGTAAGTTCCAGCATCTCTTTAGTTGAGGTGAGAGTCCCAGGGTTGACTGCGCTACTGCAGCGGTCTCCTTACACGGGGAGATGTAAGGCCACTCCTCGCTGAGTGTCTGTAGGGAGGTCTCTCCAGTCCGATAGGGTTGTGTTACTTGTGGAGCTTGAACTTTCTGCTGGCTTAGTGGGTCAACATTGTTTAAAAATGCCTGGTGACTGAGGAGAAACTGCTTCAGGCTTTGAACTTAACTCCTGTTTGACAGCATAGCGAAAGGTCTGCCTTGCTTCTTGTTTCAGCGAGTTCTCCAGTGCCATGGAGTACCTGAAATTGCTCAACTCTTTCTTGGACTCGATGGGAAGTGGAGCCCCACCCTTTGCAAGCAATTCTGTACTCAAGTCCGCCCTGGGTAAGTCCGGCAGAACCGAAACTCTCCCCGCTGCAGGAACTACTGCTCTGATATGTGTTCCTTCTCTCTCCACCACCTCTCAAACTCCAGGCAAGGAGAAATGCAGTCCTTGGAGTGAGACTTCATTGCTGAGCAGCAGCACACCACAGTGTGGTACGGCGGCTCAGACTGGAAGAGGGTGGTTGGGAAGGCTCGAAAGTTTGGCCGTGTATCGTAATGCTGGGTGACCAGGTGGGACTGCTGTTATTTGTATTGCTGGGCACGTCCCAAGGTGAACCCCGTGCCCTCACCTGAGAGCTTGCTCCTGGCAATGCAAGACGAGAGGAAGGGTGTAGCGTATAAACAAGCACAGCAGTGCTGCAGCTGAGGTACAGGAAGGTTTTTTTCCCCACCTAATTACCTATTGGACCAAATAGAGGTTGACCTCACTTTCGCAGCAGCTGTTGTGTGTATTCCTCAGTCTCCAGAGACCTGCAGCCTGTGCTGTAGGCAAACTCTGGGCGTGTAATGGGAGGCGCTCGGTTTGGTCCCTTGGTGTATATTTAGTGGGACAGGGAGGACTGTAGACTCCCTCTGAGCCATGTGCTCATCTGGGCTTGGCTGGTAGCAGGCTGCTGGAGTACTTGTCTGTACCAACACCAAGCAAGACAGCACCTGGTTACTCACTGGGATGCTGCTGGAGCTTTAGACACAGACTAACTGTGCTGTACCTAAAATGTGTAGAGCAAACATAGAAGGAAAAATTTCTCATTTCTAGGGATTATTTTCTGGTATAAAAGGAAGTCTGTATTTGGGTCAATATTGTCGTGAAATTTAAAAGCAGACCAGCATAGCAGAGCATATGTACTTTGGCCCTAGGTAGGCTTTGGGAAGTTCTTGAGGGGGTGTTAAATAATGGAGGAAATCGTATAGGGAACCTGGTTTACTGGCTTGATGGAGATTATTGCCAAGGCATGGTATATACAAGTGGAGTTGTTATTTTGGGGTGGTGAGTGGAGATCCTTGTCAGGAAGGAAGTCAACAGATTTCTAGACAAGTAGATGGCATAAGTTCTTGTTGACAAGATACAAACTTGGCACCCAAAACTCTGCTTGCAGTCAGATGTAGAGTGTTTGCCTACTGGCAAGTTCATTTGTGTTCCTGCAGCATGTTTCAACCTTTGCCTGGATGGCTGCGTTCCCGTGGGATCAGTTTGGGCTTGTTAGCATCGATCTCAGCAGAAAGCACTGGCAAGGGCACATGACACCTGCCCGCTTCTCCGAGCGGGAAGGAGCCGGGCTGCACCTTCTGATTCTGTTTCGCAGGCCCCGACGTGGTGTGCAGATGGTGGTCAGCAGCGGTGGCTATGGCAATCGGTTGGCTGAGAGGGGACGACACAGCTGTGAGGTCACACTTCGCAGAGGTGGAGCGCATGCCGAAATCCCTGGAGATGTCAGAGTGCGTAGGCCTCGTATGACTCTCTCGCTCCTTCTAACCTGGGGTGTCTCTTCCCATAACGCTGTCCTGGAGGGCTGCCCCTGCCTGTGCTCTGGAGTCGCACGCCTCTTGGCCTGTAGGACGCAATAGCGTGATGCACAGGTGTGCTCAAGCGGTTCATGTGTAGGTCAAGGCTTGCAGGCTGGTATTAGAGCTGTGGACTGGAAGTGTCAGAATTGCTTCTTTGGGGATGCCTTTTGGCTTTGTTCTAATTGCACGACCTCCTGCCTTCCAAAATCAAACAACAAAACTCATACCGATGGAAAGACCAGCCTCATCATCTTTGTTATTTTGCATTAAAGCTTCTTAGCCAGTTTCCTTCTATTTCTCTGTGCAGTCTCTGTAGGTGAGGAAGAATTTCCATCCTTCTTATCTCTAAGAAATGATATCTCTGCTCTTCAAGATGGGAGGGTGAAAGCTGGTGCTGGTTGCTGCTTGAGCTCAACTCCTGGGGCTGCCCTGTGGCAAAATGAGATGGTACTGCTAGAAAGCAGCACTCTCTCTCTTTCAGGAATGACCTGGTGAAAGCCACCTTCTACATGTGTAAAGCCATGCAGGCCTCGCTGTCTGGCAAGGCAGATGGACAGCAGAGCTCTCTGGGTCACTGCGAGAGGGCCAGCAGTCACTTATGGAACAGCCTCAACATAAGCAGTGGCGTCTCCAGCACCGTCCTCAACAACGTAAGAGCTATAAGCCCTGGGATAACGTGCGGTCTGTCTTGGTTGTGAGGTTGGTCTTGCTGCAGGTGTATCACCTCCCCATTGCGTGTATCGGCATTCTCCACCCATCCTGTGTCTGATGGGACTAGAGGGGAAACTTCCTCCCTTTCCTTCCAAAGGGCATTGATGTCTTTCTGCCTCTGCTGTGTGGAGGAGCAGAGCTGCAAGTACAGCATCATTTGCCTGGGCATGGTCTCAGCTGAGCTCCTGCTCCTCTCCTGTCAGTAGCTGTCACACCTTTCCAGTGCTTTGGCCGCTTTGAATTTGGCCCACAGCAGGCATCCATCTCCGTCTTCGAAGTGAAGCTGCTAACAGCTGTAAAGCAGGACCTCATTCAGTGGAATCTGTTCTGTTCCAGGCAGCGCTTGCGAGTGTTTGAACCCTCTGCCGCACAAGTGGGATTGTGCCGTGCTATTCCCGAGTTTGTGTGGGGCTTGTTTCTCTTCTTTCCAGGATAACCTAGAGCTGGCGGTTCCCTGCATGGCACACGGGGGACAGTTCTGGTCCCTCCTGTCGCTCCTGGGTGGCAGCCGTAGTGCATTGTAGTTGCATTGCATGTAGTGGCAGTACCTGTGCAATGTTTCTGCAGTGCAGTACGGAGGCACTCTCCGCTTCGGCAGCGCGGGTGCCGTCCCCGAAGAGCCACAGGGACAGCAAGCGATGCGAAGGGGCAGCAGCAGATGGGGAAAGGGATTTGGGCAGCCGGCATGGGCTGCTGCATCCACGCCTTTTTCTTTACCTCTGCAGGCAGTAAGGCTGTCGTTGCCATTTCCCACTAGTTAGTGCCGCCATTTGAGCAGGAAAGCCTTTGCGGAATGCTGGGGCGTTGCTGGTGCTGTATCCCCTTGGTACCGCGGCGCATCGTGGTGGGGGTGGCTCGGCTCGGGGGGCCGGGGAGCCCCACGGGGCGGGCAGGAGGTGCCACGGCTGCGAAGCAAACAGGCTGTTCCTCACCCGATGGGTTGTGTTAACAAGCGTGTGTGTGCCCGGGCCCCCTGGCTCTTGCAGATGATCCAGCTGCTGGCCTGTGACTTGCTGCTCTCTCTCCGCACCAGCCTGTGGCAGAAGCAGGGGAAACCCAGCCCGGGGCCGGGGGGGGC